TTTTATCATTATTATTATTATTTTCCCTTCCTTTTCTGTCCTATTAAATTGTCTTTATCTCAACCCATGAGTGTCACCTTTTTTCTGATTCTCTCTCGCATCCCACTGGGGGGTGTTTAGCTGCCTGCCGGGTTAAACCATGACAGCAGTGTAGATAACCATTAAAAAAGCCCTGCAATTTTTGGGCCTTTCTAAAAAAGGAAAATGGATACATAATTCCAGAAAAAAATTGAAGTGCATAAATGAAATCTGTCTCTAACCCAAAAGATGGTTAATGTACATGAAGACATAATGTAGGGTACTACTGTATGTACAATGCTGAAGCACAAGAAATGGTTTAGTATGGAGCAAGAGCATCAGCCTTTCAAAAACTGAAGATTGGCGGGGTGGGGGGCAGAAGCAACAACATACTAAGCATACTATTTGGCACTGAACTTTACCTGCCCTATAAAATAGCTGCTGTTAAAAATTATTTTTAAAATGATGGAAAAAATGCTTTGTAAAGTGAAACAAAAAGGAGGAGCTTCACTGACAAACACAGCATCAAAAGTATTCTGAGAATACTTCTTCGTCTTTTTTACAGAGATGTAATAAAGATGTAATTACAGAGAAGATGTACATCCTTACTGTACTGTAAGGGGATGTACTGGACTGGGAACATTTAATAAGTTTGACTTGATCTCAATAATTAGTTTTTCCATTGATTCAGTATATGATTTAAAAAAGCGGGACTAGAGCTCATTGAAATTTGAGGATTTTAGTGATGCAATGTTTTACTTATGCATTTTTTAAAGCTGTAGGAACTTCAGGCGTCAATTTTTAAAAATTTGCTTTCAATTTTAAATCCAATTTTAAAGAAAAAAGATCAGATTTAATTTAACTTGCAGCAAACATTTTAGATAGATTTTTAGTCATAGTAAAGAACTAAAGCTATTAACTTGAAAATGCATTGAGAAATAACACTTCGGGAATACTCACCATACTTCTTCTAATGTAGTCTACTGCTTTTTTTGTATCCATGCCCGACCAGTTATCGAGCATGTAGCAGATGCAGGAAGCACAGTACACAAACCTCATGTTATCAACATTATTCTCATCCTAAACCCAAAACACAGCACTATACCAGCTACTAGGAAGAAAATTAACTCTATCCCAGCTGAAACCAGGACAAACACTATATCCATACTAATCTTCATAACTGAAGAAACACATGTTTTTTTCTAGGTGTCTGTGCTTTGAACTGAAGGATAGCTTCATTTAACAGGAGTACTTGATCAAAGTCATTGAGCATTCTTCACAGTATGTACAACTTCCAAGAAATTACGAAGTGGAAAAAATGTGATGATTTTATTGGTTGAATAAAATATTAAATCCTGTACACATCTCCAAATTTTTATTAAATGCACAAGATAGTCAATAATTTATCTATCAAGTTGCATCAGAAATAACTTATTAGCTTACATAAAGGCATTAAGAATCTGAAATAAATGCATTCTGAATCCATTACATGGGCAAGTGTCCCTCTACTTTAAAGTAAGGGGCATATTTCACTATTACCAGTAACATGTTTTAATGCTTGTACTAGCTAATGAAGATATAAATGATTTCTGTTACATAACGGTATTCTGCATGCTGACTTTGAACTACAGACGACTTAAGTCATTTATTTTAAAATAGGCTTTCAGGGTGGATTAAAAGAATGAAGTACAGGACTAAAGATAGATTAGAAGGATTAACAAGTGGGTTTTTTTCCTCATGCATATCAGGGAGTTTAACTGAGCACAGACCAAACTTCTACATAAATTTACATTTTTGTGAACTATCTGATGGTGGGGAGTTTTCTAGAGAAGGCGTTCATTTTGATCACCGCTGCGCCAGCTGTTAAGACTGCCGACCAATTTTAAAGAAAAAAGATCAGATTTAATTTAACTTGCAGCAAACATTTTAGATAGATTTTTAGTCATAGTAAAGAACTAAAGCTATTAACTTGAAAATGCATTGAGAAATAACACTTCGGGAATACTCACCATACTTCTTCTAATGTAGTCTACTGCTTTTTTTGTATCCATGCCCGACCAGTTATCGAGCATGTAGCAGATGCAGGAAGCACAGTACACAAACCTCATATCATTCTCACTTCCTTCCAGCACAGCACAGAAACTGAAAGAAAGGTTTCTTTCATTATACATTTTATAGCCCATTACATTAGAAAATATGAAAAGCATTTTAGGAATTGCATTATTTTTCCTTTTAAAACAAATTAGTTAATTCTATTTATAGTATTCACATGAATGTAACCCAAACCTATATTAGATTTTCTTTTCAGAAGATGTGATTCTAACCAAGCTAAGCAAAATGAATAGAACTATTAATATTTAGGGGCTTGGATAACCTCATTTCCAGTAATGTAATGACACTGGTCTTTATCCAAATATGTTAATGTTTACATTCTTTCATGTATCACAGTATACACTGATGTATGAGTTACCATTGTATAATCTACTATTCTTAGCAGAATTCTTTTCCTCCCTAGAAATCTTCATAGCTCACATGGCTTTCCTGTCCAACTTTAGGATCAGATTCCCATGTATGTATAAATGTAATTGTTATCATTACAATTTCTAATATAAATGGTGAAAATTACTTGCAGTCCATTTTTTTGTTTCTAATGGTTAGATTCTTTCCAAACTCTGAAAAGATTTTAAAGTTGTTATATCTAGGTTATTTAGATACAATCTGGTGTTCTCTCAGAGACCCTTAAAAAGATGACTGATGCTGTGATTTGCTCCCTGATAAGCCTCCATTTGGTTCAAAGAGCTAGTTAGAATATTTTTACATAGGACAGTCTTTCAAGCGCCACTGTGACACTCCCCCTTTGACCCTGGCATTCCGGTATGTACTCCATCTTGTTGCATACAAAAGCCTCCAACACCTACTGGAAGACAGTTTCATCTCTCCTAACCTCAAGGTTGCCAGCTCCTGCTTTCTGCAGCTCAAATGGGGATCCACTCCATTACTCTTTGGATATGGCAAAGGATATTCTTGGGAACCAGGACACTTAAGATGTGCCAGTGCTGTGGTTTACAACTTCATCCCATCCTTAGGTAACAAGTTCCTTGTATGTTATCTAGATACTTCAAATTACATTAAGCCAAGGTAAAGTAGAAATGCAAATACACGCATTTATTCATGACATTTAAAAAGAGACAATATAATTACATTTTTTTTAGTTAATAAAACCCCCCCCCGCCGGTCCCGCCCGCTGGGCGTCAAGTTCTCTTGTGGACTGCCCCAGTATCGTCTGCCAGCTCTCCCCACAGCCTCCTTCAGTGGCTCAGCTCCCCCGCGGGGGCTCTCCGAGTCCACCTCACTCCGGAAGGACGGGGAGGGGGAGGGAGTAACTGCTTACTTCGTAACGGCATTCTGTCAGCCTGCAAGAGCTGCCAGTCAGCTCAATATGTGCCCGAAATACTATTAGGTAAAATGACTACACATTGTTTTATTATAGCTGGTGATATCCTGCAGGTAAATCCAGTAACTTGAACTAATTATTCGTGTCTCAGGAAATAAGTTACTGTGTAGCAAATTGCATACAAGACTTCAATCGACGTTCATAAGCATTAATAGGAGCAAATAAAATCAGGGTTACTATTTCTCGTATACCAATCTGAAATTCAAGGAGGAGTATAAAAAAAAGCTGATCACAGTGAAGAACTTTTAATACAAACTGAAATATATGTCATGATGAAAAACACTAATAATGTAACAAAAAACAGTTCAAATACAACACTCACAAAATACAAAGGTAATACATGTCATTGGATAGAGCAAATTTTGTGAAAACTCCTGAAGACAGTTGGCTACTTCATATGCAAGGAAATCATCATCCTGTAAAAATGATAGGCAGATGCCTATAAAAAAAAGTGTTTATAAATAACTGTCTTTATAATGGTATGTGTCCATTGTTCTCCTTAACTATAAGGAATATGTAAAAGTGTTTCTGAACGTGTTGGTCCAATCTCTTTTCTGCATTCCTCCCAGCTCTTGATAGGCCTGCAAAACCTGGACAGGTCTCTGGCTACGTGAATTTCAACCTTACAGTGAAACAGACAAAAGAAATCTGTTCTTTTTGATCAATCACATAATTAATTACATATGCTCATTAGATCTTTATTTAGATTAAGTGCAAAGTAAACAAAACAAATCTACCTAGTGAGAAGGAGACTTTTGCCCACACTACCACAGGAAACATAGCAGAAGCTTTTAGGTCAGGTTCCGGCCTTTGTGCATCCTTCCCCTTTGGTGCAGTAAAAGTTGTTTTAATAGGTATGAAAATGTCTGTTGTACTAGAAGTTGACTACCACCCAAGTAGCAATTCTACCCCAGAGAGGTGCAAAGCACTCTCCTTTCCCTCTGGTGGCTAGCTGGCACTCTTCAGCAGGGAACACAAAATACAGGATCAAGTATAAGAGGTATCAGTCTGTACATTAAAACCATACATGATACAAACATGTAGAACAGGTTAACTGTGTGCAGTTTATTATTGTAATCAGGCATGATGACAAGCAACTACTTCAAGATGTTAGCGAGTTTGGAGCAACTCATCCCTAACTCCTTCCTCTTGAATAAACTTTAACAACAAAAATGGTACAACATATAATAGGAATGCATACAGCAGTGGTAGAAGCACCCCCACATGCTAGAAGATGCTGCAAATGGAAGTAGACCAACAAATCCATGTATACATACATTAGAATTTAGCCCATTAAGGTCAGTCTGTTGCTATAAGTAACAGGAAACTGTAGATCATATAGTTCATATTTTGTTTGGTGTTTGGTTTTTTTTTTAAACCTACACATGTAACACTGCATTTTAATAGTTATGCTCCACTTAAAAAAAAGTTTTAATTATAGGAGACTTCTAGGCAATACAAAGCCATTTGACCAAAACAAAGGCTTTTGTAGCTAGGGACAGCAATTTCATTATAAAGTGAAACATAATTTCTTCAGGAATAAGATTTCTATAGTTATGCATTTCTTAAAGTACTCTTTAAAAATGATATTCAGTAAAATCTAAGTACACAGACAGATCATGTAACCTAGCAGAAGTTTTCATTACCTACCAGCTCCAGCCTACATAAAAATCAAACAGATGTAGTTCAAAGAGTATAAACCATCCTGTATATTAATGGATTGAATCTCTCAAAACCCTCCCACAAAGCAGAGCAAACATCATCTTAATAGTGCTCCACCAGGGCCTTGCAAAACCAGAGAATACAAATAGAGGAAACCTCACATGTTGTTCTATTGCTTATCCCCACCAAAATATTTTCTGATAGAAAGAAAATATTATACAACTATTTTCATAAAAGTGTGTATTACGTTTAATTCTACAATTGGGTTTTCTATTAACCTTCCAGAGAGTTGTAAGATATTTTATATCTTTTACCTTCCATCCTCCAGCTGGAGAGCTCTCAGTCCTGCCAGTAAGGCATCTTTATTTACTCGACTTAAATCATCTCCAAGAATAACCAGACACGAAAGACCCGTGTAAGTCATTGCTATGTGCCCACTATCATAGGGATGAGACATACCAGGACCCTTAAGGGAAAAAAAAAGAAAGAAAAAAACCCACATCATAAGAACTTATATTAAAATCACGTATTCATTTTTTATTATTAAAGAGGTAAGCAAAATTCATTTCCCTTCACTAATTATGGTTAGACTGAACGTATCCCACTTAGCTTTTCTGGATGAAAGTATATTACTGCACAGCTCTGCTACCCGCTTAAACAGCTCATCAGTAGGAAGCTTTGGAATAGGACTATGCCAATACTGATATTCATGCAAGAGTTAAGCGAAAAGAATCAAATGTGCTGAACCATATCTAAGTTTATCCTGACACACTACTGGGCATTAGTTCCCTGGCAATTGGGGGAACTCTCTGTTAAATAGCCATACCTCTACAGGTTCCTTCTGCAAAGATTTTAGAACCTAATGATCTACAAGTAGAAAGTAGTGTGAGGGATTATTGGTAATCTCTGTGTCAGTTGAAAGGAAAACAAATTACCCACTCATCTTACTTTCATCTATATTATAAAAAAATAATGAGAGTTTAAACAAACTATTTGCATAACAAAGTCTACTAGGAAGCTAAAATGAGAGTTGACTAGTTACATGGTAAAAACACAAAAAGGAGGGAGATTGATACAGCTGTCCTAAAATTATTATTTTTCCTTGTGATATTTTATAGGTACATCCTGGACTGTACCAATGCATGACAACACAAACCACATGTAACAAGATGACTTTGGATACTTAGGATGGTACTTAGGATGGATCAATTTGGAGTAACTGGAAGATGACTCTTTTTTTCTTTTAAAGAGGATAAAAGAGCTATTTCTGTACTGAGCAGCAAAGATGGACAAGTTTTTAAAGCACATTTTACTAGGATTATGTCAATTGCCATTTTTATTTTTCAATTCATATTAAAAACACATGCAAAAAGCAGTACAAAAACAAGTTAAATGAGATTATGTTATGGGTACACAGTATTTTTCAGGCCAAATCATGCTTGTTTCCCAAGCCAGAAAATGTTATTTGAAATAAGAAGCTAGGATAAAAATACCTATTGCCCACTGTTCTCACACTAGGGAATCACATTGTGGTAGGCAGGCACAAAACAAGGTGAAAGTGGCTGCAACAGCACTGAAAAAGCTCTAGCTACACAAAAGAGAAGGAGAACAGAGGAGTGCTGAGAGCTGCCCCTCATTTCTGGCCCCGGGGTCTCTGTCAAGAAGTGGGGCAAAAATCTCAGCAGTCATAGCTGGCTCCAACTTCTGTCCCTGAGCCAGTGCTCCCATCACTCTTCCCCTGCACACTCCCTGGTCCCAGACACACTACCCCATGGGGCACCCCATAGATGGAGGACAACTGCATACTCAAATGGGTTGGAGAACTATTGCAGTTGTGAAACAAGTTTTTCTTGGGTGGATGACAGGCTCTAATCTCTGAAGGAACAACTTGAACTATCATACCATAATTTTATTATAAGCAGCTTAACCCTTGTGATGTATCAACACATTTGAAATGTAGATTTTTCACTCTAAAAATCCATATATATAGAGAGAGTGATACAAACTTGCTCTGTCACGGAAAAGTATTCAGTTTCATGTAATCAATTAATTTACTTTTAAAAAAAGTGAGTCTCTCCTGAAAATCCAAATTTGAACCAATTCTGGCTATAAAGGATTCTCAGTGTCCCAGCTCAGTAGCTAAAACTTCTTTTCACATATTTTTGTCAAATGAAATACATGACACACGTTAGCAGATGAAAAAAATCTGGAAAGGTTCTTCGATGTTTAGTACCAACTGCTTACAAAAAGTCATAGTAGGTCAATCAGCAACTATGAAGAAAACTAAGTTTCCAAACACAGAATCATAGAATGGTTTGGGTCAGAAGGGACCTTTAAAGGTTGGACCTAGATGATCACTAGATCAGGTTGCTCAAAGCCCCATCCAACCTGATCTTGAACACATCCAGGGATGGAGAATCCACAACTTCTCTGGGCAACCTGTTCCAGTGCCTCACCACCCTCATAGTAAAGAACTTCTTCCTTATGTCCAATCTAAATCTATCCTCTGTCAATTTAAAACCGTTGCTATTTGTCCTGTCACTACAGGCTCTGGTAAAAAGTCTTTCGCCATCTTTCTTATAAGCCCCCTTTAAGTATTGAAAGGCCGCAATAAGGTCTTTTCCTTTCTTCTGCTTTTTGCTTCTGAGCTTCTTCATGACAAAGACATTTTCTTGAGCATTTTTTCTGAATTCTCTTTCTCCTTCAAGATTTCTTCTTTTTCTTGATGCTCTGGGGACCCCCAGAGCTGGATGCAGTACTCCAGGTGGGGTCTCACGAGAGCAGAGTAGATATAGTGAAACAGTTCAATTTTTATTTTGAAAATTCTATTTCCAAAGGAAGATTATATTTACTAAGCAAATGACAATTACGCTAAGGAAATTCAGGCTTGAGTTTTTAAAACCATGGTTACAGAAATTCTATCCAAATGTCTTAACTACTACAAAGGTGCTTGGATATTCAATACATTTTCTAAGGCATCTGTAAATCTCAAAAGAATATTCCCCTTTAAGTGGCAATTTTTCACACCGTGTCAACACAAAGTAACTGAAAATTCCTGCTTTCTCTAAATTGCACTTTTCTATATACACACACATCCATATTGTCTGCAAAGCTTTGGTAGCCTACAAACATATTAAAATAACTGGGTTTTTATTTTTTGTGTGAATGCAGGTATTTCTTTTACACTATCATTCGCTGCAATGTGTTATAAGCACATATACTGTATGCTCATGATACAAAATAACAGCCCCCCCAACAAACAGTATCAATTACTACAGTATCTAGACAACGTACAGATTTTATCTCCTCTTCCTTTTCCATGCAAACATTTCAACATGCGTGGGTAGCATATTGTTTTTCCAAATACAGGATTTCAGCAACCCCAGAGGTGTGTAAAACTTTGCGCTCTACCCTACTACCCTACTAGCAAACTACGAAATATTTCAATAAAATTAAATTAAACAGAGAAGATTCAGAATCAAGTATGAGATCATATAAACAAATTATTACAAGGCATACTCACAAAGGCCGAGATGAAGTTTCACATGGGAGTTTTTGAGGGCCTAACAGATCTTTGTTCACCATACATGCTTTTTTTAATAATATAATTATTATTATTTTATATAACATAACATAACATAACATAACATAACATAACATAATATAATTGGCTCAAATTTTAAGTGCACTAGAATTCACTTTATCTCCTAGTCTGCTCTAAGATCCATGGAATTATTTCAAGCCTGTCATGATACAACTCATCACATATTATGTTTTACCTACACATAACAATATATACTTCACACGCTAATTCAATTAACACACCTGGGCCCGAATAACAGGGTTTCTTTGAGGGGACATCATTTAGAAGAACTAGACATTCCAGACAAAAAAAGAAAAAAATTACCTTTTTTTGCATGTAAAGAGGTAAAAAATTAAATGGGAAGTCATTAAATTTGTAGAAACTGGTCCTGTGACAATTTTATGCCACAAAGTAGAACTGAAATGTTTTTTCCAAAAGGAAAAGATTACAAGTTTTAAAGGTTTTGTAAGATAGTTTCTAATGCTTCCAAAATTTGTATGGATGGGAGAAAGTCTTTTGTGATTAAAGACTAATCAATGGCTCCATTACATGTATGTACACCCTTGTATTGAACTCCCAACTGCTTTTTCTGGCATAGGCCTTTGAATTATTGAAAGAAAAGGAAAAAAAAAAACACCACCAAAAAAACAAACAAACAAAAAAAAGAAAACAAAACCCAACCCCCCCCCCCAAAAAGCCCTCTTCAAGAATATCTAGAAACCTAGTACATTCCAACTGCAAAATTCTACTTTTGTACCCTTGAGACTACAGAAGTGAATATTTAAGGTAAAAACAATCTCATCTCCCCCTAATAAAATGTTTTCAAGTACAAAAGTGCACTTTTTTTTCTGAATGGAAATGAAATGCAAGAAAAATACCTGAACTACAAGACTGATGACTTTTAAGTTTCTTGACTTATGTTGGATATCAAGGGCGTTTAAACGTTATGTGTATTTAATAGAAAAACCCGTTGTTAAACTGCCTCTGCTATGTAGGACAAAGTAATTCAGACATTGTGTAAAAGTCTACTCTGAATTTATCAAAGACACCATAGTCAAAGCAACTGATTTTTAATGGGCACCTTTGTGCTTGGTTAAAATAAGCTGCTGCTTAAGTTCTGTGCTATGAATAAAGCTACTTTTAGTTAAATTGATCTGTTTCTGCTTCATAGGCACTGCAGACCAAAGGAATAGCAGCAGCAACTAATCAAACTGTCGGGCTAGTCATAAAAAACAAATAAAAAAACCCCCAAAACATTGCTGCTATCATCTCAAACCATTAGCTTCATGGGCCAAGGACACATAGGTAACCAAAATTAAGTTATTTTAAGACAGACAGCAGTTACATCTCAAAAATGAGCAACAAGAAAGGTGTTAAACTGCCTATGGATTGTTAAATACTTAGACTAAACATCCACAGGAAATAAATGTGACCCACTAAGGTTATGTCTAGATTAAGGAGTAATGCAGCGCAACAGGAATCCGTTTGGAGAGCAGAACAGTTAGTGCTGAAGTCCCAGTGCCCACACTATATGCATTTCAGAATTTGTGCTAGCTGTAGTCTGGCTTCATGGACTAAAGGCCCATTAATGGATGAGTGCATTCAGGGTGCACCTTCTGGTTTAGTTTCATTCAAAATTAATCCAGTTTGTTTCTCTCTCTGTGGAGCAAGCACGTTAAAGTACCCCTATTAAGTGCTCTCCTGATCTGAACTAAAACACTGATGCAGGCATACTCTGAGAACCCAACTACAGGGATATGGCCAGGTCCTGTTGCCTCCATACACTTCATCCTTTGTGATAATTACTGTTTTCAGGACACATAGGGACCAGATTAACCTGGCTTTCAGCAATGGAGTAAAACAGTCCTGCTCTATGAAAGCTACCATCACAGTCTTCACAACCCGAGCCTTCCTTAAAAGAATTAACACTAAGGATGCAAGGTGGGGGAAAGCTTTCAAACATTTACATCTGGTTCAGTGACCTGATAATGTTCCATAACACATTACCCAGAACAACTATTTAAACTTCATTCACAGCTATCAACAGTTTTTGCTGACCACTGCAGAGAAGGCTAAATAGCTACCTATGCTGCAAAAATGTAGGCAAGATCTTTCCAAACACTAAAGAGTGCTACCAAACATACTGCTACACAGGCAGAGTCAGACTTTCAAAAAGCTTTTTTCTCACTTGGCATCAATGTTATAAACATGGATTGTTTCAGCCTTGAGAGAATACAGCGTTGTATTGGGAACACAAAACAGATCTTTTTTTTTTTCCAAGTGAAAACATATGTTACCTCCCACACTCTTACAAAGAAGTTCTAGGCACTGGCTTTCAATCTAGCCCCTAAAACTGATTTGTAACACTTTATAGAGATTGAAAAGACCTAGGCCTGTCTGAAACTGTAAGGAGACTGTTAACCTCTAATTTTGAAAGCTATTTTAAACTCAAGTAACACTAAACATGAGAGACCGAAGAATCTGGAGCCATTTCAGAAAATGATTGTTTTCTAATTTGAAACAATTTATGTTTAAATGCACTGATAAAAGTGGCACTCTCAGCCTTCATTTACAGTTAAGACTGTTAAGGCTTGTTAAGACTGTGCATGGGGAGTTGGTCAAGGTGATATGGTTGTGCTTCATTTTTGCTACCATCCCAAAGAGCTGCATAGACACTACAATCAAACACTAAAAGGATAATGGTAAAAAAAATGAGAGAACAAATGAGCTATCCTGGTAACATTTAGTAAAGTTGGGAGGATCTAACATATCCCCTGCTTTTTTTCTATTATCTTAAAGTGTCTCTAGCGATAAAAGATATTTGGCTAGCTCCAGTATTGCACCTTCTCAGAGTCCAAAAATGAAATCGCTGTAGCAGCATGAAATAAATAACTGCCAACACAAATCCAAAAAGGTTACAGGTTTCTTTTATTTTGAAAGACACAGATTTAATTGACCATTTTTTAATGACAAATACAGAAAAAAACCCCAAGACTACTAAACATAATTCAAAGTTATCACAGCGGATTTCCAAGTATTTCTTTCTTTGAGTCATTTCAGAACATTTTAGGGGAACAACTCTGGAAATACTTTAAACCTTTGTATGCCAATAAATCAAAGCAGATCTGATCCCTTTAATGCAGATGCAATACAAAGTATTATGATGCTTGAATAAAAAACACATCCCTCTGCAAACAGTTTTCCAGATATAACAACCTTGTAATTAATTTCCACAGGTTACATGATTCGACACTTTGTTCCTTCTACAGATTGACTAACAGGTTATGAGACACTGATGGGCTGCAACACATTTCCTGAAAAGAGAATATGTATGCCTGGAGCATGTACTATTGGAAATTGAGTATTAAATTAAAACACCAGAAAGTGCTGGCAAGCTACAATGACGCTTTGCAGTTCTTTTGAACTTTTCATCTTCAAAGGGCTTTACAAGATCTCAGAACTATATGCAAAACTCATTCTTCAAGCTTTATGCGCTGGGGAAGATTTGAAAAAGTTTCCCAAAAGTACGTACTCCTTTTAATGGCACGGCATTGACCCAGACCTTTGGGAAAATGTGACTGATACATTTTTATTATCTTGGTTTGAAAAATTATGTCTTTATTAATTTTATAACAGTTATACCACAATAATAGCCTTACAACCTCAACTTCTTTAGGTGACTTATCAAAAGGAAGACAGACAGCTTGCTTCCGATTAAAACTTTTTTTTTTTAAACTACAACCATACTGAAATTATGGTCTGCTATTTTGCCTTTAAGCTTTATTTTTTAATAAAGTATCCCAATAAGTCACCAGTAGAGATCCCAAATTGGTTTGGGTTTTGTTTTAAGCAGAAGTTTTCCTTCTTTCCTTCAAGCTCAGTTGGAGGTAGGATTGCCACTGAGGTGAATTCCAATTAAAACAGATGATGAATTCATCTTACTACTACAATTGAAGCTCACGGCAGACACCAGCTCTAGTGTAAAAGGGGATAAATACCAAAGCAAACCAAGAGAGAGATTACCTTGTCTGTCACACATTGCTGTAGCACCTGATGTAGAGACATACAAAATCATCTTTATAATTATTTTTTCCCTTGTTATAAAGCATAACTTCTACATATTACTACTATGAATATTGGCTGACAAGAAGAGGCATTAAGCGGTTATTACTCTAGTGCAGATTAACATTCCCACAAGCTACTCAGAAACATAAAGCTGTGCTGTTAGAGTTAATAAAAATGAGGTCAAAACAAGATGCTGTACTACCTTCATAATCAAGCTAGTTCAAGCATTTTTACGCTCATCTACAGTCATAACCACATCAGATGTCCATCCTTGCTTTCAATTTCGTATCCCAGTATTCATAAACTCATATCTAAAATTTTCTTGTTATCTGTCCTCTAGAAAAATCAAATACTTGGTCATAATTTAGGGCTCTTTCAGATGTTTCATCCACTCTTTACTGAGGAGATCTGCCTTTTCATTCTCAAACACAGCACAGAACTTCTGTATCTTTTTCACAATCCTTCCTGCACACTGGCCCCTATTTCCATCTTACAACCCTATCAGGCCTTCTGTATCATCTTTAGCAGCCTCTGTTCACCTCCTTTCTCCCCTGTATTAAGGGCAATTTCTTTTCGTATACAGACTTAATTCTCTTGAACCTCAGTTCCATGGGCTTAAAAGCATCCTCTCTTATGGTCTTCTACCACAGACTGGGATGAGCAGAGCCTTGCCTATGTTTGAATGGATACCAGGTACAATCAAACACCCCATGTTTCATCAAAGGAAGAGGAACACTGAAGAACAGCATGTGCTGTACCACCTGATACAGAGCTGTTCTGCCCTTCACTTCCAGGTCCACAGACAGTTGTTGATCTGGAGAAGTTTCCCCTCCCCAGTTATAGATCAGAGAAGTGCACTGAGACAAACCACAATTTGCACGTCACTGCCCCTGGAAACACAAGCAGTACCATTTTAAGAGTACTGCACGTTTTTAAAATCTCTGCAATTGTTTCAGTATACTAACAGTGCAAAAAACCCCGTTTCCCAGATTTTCCACAATTCTGTAGTTAATATTATAAAAAAGACACACGATCATTTACTGCCTAATTGAAAATCTTTTTCCCCCACGCTTAACTAACCTTGGATGGATTGAATGGCATCCCTAAATATGAAGAGCCTCTGAATCCACAGCGATTCAAATTTGAGCCTGGAAAAGGAAGAAAAATAGAGAGTCAACTAATCTGCTTCGCTGAAACATTCATTATAAACCATAATTCTCCAGTCAAGATCAAAACCTGTTAGTTCAACACCATTCGCAGTATTACTAGCATTTGTATGTGTCCTTTCAGTATATTCCCAACCTCAGCTTGTTATCATTATGAAAAAAAAAAAAAACAAAAACCCAAAGAAAACCACAAGCAAACTGGGTCCTGGTGTAATGACGAAGCAGCCCATTTTTGATTTGGTAGAAATATATTGTTCATACCAGCATACAATTGTCTTCCATGCTCTCAAAAATCGTTAAAAAATTACTCCCCTGGAAAAGTGCCCAGAGTTAACAGATTTCTTTTCTCCTCTCTAGATTCCTGCCTGGTAATACTATCTGTTCCTAAATAGAATTGTTTTAAAATACTTTGCAGCATGTACAAAGACAAACAATTTACAGTTTTAAGCTAGTACTGATTTAACTCGATACAGTCAGAATGAAATACTTAATATGAAAGACAAATTTTTAATGGAGCTATTCCTCTCCCACCTAAAATTCAGGTACAAAACCATTTTACCAATCAAACATTTCTTTCAGCGATTCAGATGTTGATGTTGGTAAAGATTAACCTTGCTCATTTTACCCTAACAATACTATGGCATCATGAAACAGGATATATGTCTCGGAACAAAGAACCCTAAAGTGAATGATGGTTTGCTTCGCTAACGGTCCGTAAAGGACTGCTTAGTGTTGCCAAAGCTAAGCGAACTTAGGGGAAAGGTTATTCCGGCAGGGGGAGATCAGGACCACCGACTCAAGGACCACCCGCTCAAGAAACCCACCCACCCAAAAGGTTAAGGAAGTAAAGGTCTCGAGAATCATAGTGAGTGTGTGTAGTAACTTACATGGCAGGCGAAGAATTTTAACCAATCGTTTAACAAAAGTGACAACGAATATGTATTAGATGATTGTATAAATAACTGTTAGTTTACACCAACGGTGTGCTGGTTTGTACCATGCACCCGTATTCGCACATTTACGTAATAAAGGAAAATACCTCGACTCTGTGTGTGAATTGGGCGATGCACACCGGGTAACGGACCCAAGTTTTTGGGACAACA